ATTTAAGTGCACTGATCAAATGACTTAACACCAAAAAGAGAATTTTAGACAACGGATTAAAATGTATCAATTTAATTCCTTGTTGATGGTGACGAGTGCAATTCTAACTCCAGGGGTTGCTAGGTTTAAACGGTTTTAAGCAGATTTCCAGGTCTTAAAACACGTTTTTGTCGTTTCCGTGGATTTAAAACGGGAGTATTTCCTATAACCATTGTTTACGCGATATGTTTCCAGGTAGCAAATAGACACAGTGTCAACTTGAGTGCGAATTAATAATTCGAGGAAGGACATACAAGTAATCTGTAAATTTTGTAATCCTTTGACAAAATTTAGAGTTACCGTTCCTTGGTTATCTAGATGTCAAATGAAATTTTAAAGGCGATACATTTTTTTCACAAAAGTTCACCTTATTCACGAGCTATCTAAAGATATGACGGACGAATCGGTTAATCATTTTCTATTTAATAAATTATTACAAAAATTCAATATTTTTTCTCAATAAATAAGCTGTCATTGTTCTTGTATAATTGTTACATTCCAACTGAACAAAAGCAATCTCATGTCGCTTGTCGTGATATATACATGTATACATCCTACGCGGCGCTGCATGTGTTATACACAAACATGTATAACTTATTTAATGTAGCAGTGCTGAAATGTTAAATACATTTGTCACGCTTGGAAACATCGTGTTTTTCGGCTGGTTACGGCTGATGGTAGTCCAGATGAAAATGTCAGAGGGTGGGGGATGCTAAACCATCCGATAATAACTAATGCTTTTACAATGTTTCAATCTGGTTTAGTTTTTCCTTCCTCCCATCTTGAAACTCGCTTTACTTTATTTGATGATCCTCTAATATTTTCCACTTGTACCATCCAACATGTGGTTTACGTATCACAACCCGTCCGTAATGCCCAGCCGATCCGTATTTTTCTGATGTCTTTTACATATTGACAACAGCCCTTCGTCAATAGTCGCAATGCTTATAATAAGAGATAAAGTGAGTGTCTGCCACGTTGAAATTTTAAATTCACATCTTAATCATAGGAGAGAATTGCACTTAGAAACGGTAAATTTCGAGACTTAGTAAAGCAGAGTATTATATCAAAATCTGATTTATAATGATACATCTTCGCAAAGGGATAATATAATATACTTCTATTTTTCTTTTAAATAACATTTCGCGTTCGAATCTTCATTTAAAATCATGACAAAATAATGACAATTCATCGAAATATACTACACAAAATATATAACAATAACTACCTACGTAAACCTTAATTAGTATATCATTTATTCAGTTTGTGAAGAAACAATGGGTGTTAATTGCGTCTATTTATTTCGAAATTCTTGTTGCGATATGTTCTAGATTGAATTCAGAATACATGTATTTTATTTATTGTTGCTCCTATTGTTACCTTTCCGAATGAAGTGTTAATTTGCATAAAACATGCAAGCGGTGAGTTTAATAAAACATGTATGGGTACAAACATCGATGCAAATTTTAATGAAATATTATTTTCTAACATATCAAATATTAAAAGATAGGAAGAACAAAAAAGAGATTAACTTCAACGATAACACGTGTGTTACCTAGAAATTATTTTTTCAAAATTAATTATCATTTTTTTTTTCAAATCTTTTTGGACCGTGAGCAGATTATTTGCATGTATTAAACAGTGTATTTGTAAAGATATATTTCCGGTTTTGATAGTATCTTTAATTCGTCAAATGTTGTAAAATATAATTGTATTATAAAGTTGATCTGAATAGAGTGTCCAATATTTCATGTATATAAATCTGTCACATTGAAATTGCAAAACGCTACTGGGTATTATATTAATATGTCATTTTCATTGTAAAAAGGTAAGCAATGTGCATAGATAATGCAATCGATATTAATATCATTATAATAATGAATATCTCGTCGTTGTCTGCAACAGTCTAAATAGATCGATGGAAACCGAGTTGAGAGCGATATCGTCCGGGTAATTTGCTCATTGATTGTAAAATGAACGCTACACGTTAAATATCTTGTTTTGTTCATATCGCCAATGTCGATTATTTCTTTGTTATCAGTGGATATTATTAGAAAGCTTTGTTTAAAAAAAGATTCAACCAACTTTGTTTATAATCCTATCTTTGCTGTAAATCCTTATGCATTTATTAAAAATATATATATTTTCTAGCTAAAATGTAAGAATTTGGTCATAATATTATTTTGCAACTCATTTTATTGTCACAATCTTAATTCGAATAATCTGTCAAGTTCTAAATAATTTGGTTTAAAGTAGCTTTGAAAGAACTTTAAGTGCAAGTTTATATTTGAGTTAATGCTGTATAATATTTCTAATAGCCATGTTACCTCATTGTATAAATACATGTATGACCAATGATGGCCATGCTAACATCTCGTAGTGTTTGTTTATACTTGTAAATAGCCGACAACTGTCAATAATTCTAAGGGGCTTAAAGACGCTTAAAAATCAACAAATTAACACCGATTATCACCCGGTTAACACCAACAATCAACAATCTATCAAGCCTTGATTGATTTTCCTGATCACTTGATCTCCAGAGCTCAAGTCTTAACCTTAATTAACCCATCACTAATTAAATCAAGAAGGAATGGATTTATACTGATTTTCCTTGTGTAGAACTTTATTTTGGTGCAGTAGTTTGTATATTCCCTAAATTTGTAGTAATGTTTTGGCTATTTTTTCTTTTATTTCGAAATTAATGAAATCACGAACAATTAATAATTACCATAAAATTATACAGCGTCTGAAGACTATTTTACAATACAAAGAAATTAAATAAAGCGATCCTTTATTGTTGAATGGAAAAATTGAAGTAAATTATAAATTAATTACAAATGACCTATTTCATACATATAAATATTAAAGTACAAATTTGCCATTCATAACCGAGTAATTGCAAAAATAATCAACCAAATTATTCATGTTTTATTTGTTTTATAACTTACATTTATTTACTTTATTTAATGAAGGCTATTTCCGGTAATTTTGGGTTATTTTTGTTTTTGTGTTGTTTCCTTGAACGTTGTAAACATAAACAAAACAATATATATCAAACCAACGTCTGTCTGGGTAAAGCTAAGTGTTCAATACAATATTGACGATTTAAAAACGTTAAATTGGAAATTTTAACAAAACGTACATGTTCTAATGCGCAATTTGATAAAGTTGTATAGAAGAAAATTTTACTGGAAGTTTTACTTAAAATAGAGGCAGTTTATTTACACTTTTTGTTACTTGTTGGTGTAGACGTTTTAACGACAAATTCAGCTTCCTTTAAGTTAAATACACGTGTAAGACATTTTCAAACGTGTTCAGAATCTCCAAACATAACGAAATGTTTTACTTGATTGTACACCATATAAACAACACTGTGATATTTACAATAGGACGTAAGGCACACGACATAAACGTGTATAGTTATTGTTTAGTGACTACTGTAATTGGTGTAAAGAACACGTTTGGAATTTATCTATTTCAATTGCAACATTTAGTGTGTAATTTACGTCATAGACACAATATCAATATTATTCACATTGAAGTACATGTACTTGTACTACTGTGTAGTCAATTAAGGTGCATCTTATACTATTCTTGTTCAAAACCCCAAACCAGCTCTTTCAACAGAAGAAATTACTTTATACAGATACCATTGAGAAAACAAATTAAAGATTGAAGTTGTCGCTCTAGAGACTATAATGGTACACTGCATTTTGTACATGTTTGTTATTACACATCATTGCTGTCATTTAAAATGGCCGATCTTATTAAATCTTAGATGCAAAAAATCGCTTTTATTAAACTAAAATTTATCATGTTATGTTATTTATTATAAAAGATGTATGCATAATGTGTGTTTAATCATATTAATAAATTAATAACATTTCCTCTATTTTTGTACATGTTTTTGAAATTTAAAAACCCCTGTAAACTTTGATAAAACATACACACAACAAAACCAACAACAAACTTTGCATTCATCTTGTATTTTACATGTTGTGGCACATCAGCCTAATGCCATAATATAGTATGTCTTTTCTATTATACCTACGCACACTATTTTTTTTAAAATAAATTATATCGAATGATAAAGAACATGCTTTCATAATGTTACAGTCTAGTAGACAGCAAATTCTTTCAAAGGCATTTACGTTATACTAAAAAACATAGGTCTAAGATTTAGAATAGTCTCTGTGTTACGCTTTTGTGAGGCTTAAAATATTATATTGTTATGAAACAGATTACTATCATGTAAAACAGGGCGATGACATTGACATAAATATGTTGTATATTATAAACATTTAACCCGATAAGTCTATTGTTCACTAGAAATATTAAATATCCTTATCTGGAAGGATGTTTGATATTAAGAAGAATAACTAATGATTTTTATGTCATTGAAAATATTATTAACTACATTATTTAGCGCGTGTTCATATCTGTGAAATGAGCTTTTCGAAATGTTCACTCAAATTATATCTAAAACTGCACAACTACCTGCCCCGTTGTGCTAAAATTTTAAAAATTTAAGCGCAAAGTATAACAGCTGAAATGTAAGATACATTTGTCGTCACTTAAGGTGAGGTTTAAATTATTTATAATTGAGGTTATAAAATGATGCAGTCTCTGAATAGATTATCTCTTGTCTGTAAATAACCTGAATAGCAAATCTCTCGCGAACTTATGACTCAACTAGACCGGCTCCGACACAATAAAATTACTATTTTTGTTATGAATTAACGACACTCGCGTAAATATACGTACATGTATTTAAAGAAAAAGTTGGAGTTGTATTGTTTTGGTTAAGGAACGGTTTATATTATGATGTGCATGATTACATGATGCCCATATTATTTTAATCACACGACACCACCTGTGTTTACTAACAGCTGAAAGCAAAAAATGTTTAAAAAAAAATGGAAGAAAAAATCTAACCAAATAAAAATAAAGTTTGTACCGACCTGTATGCGTTCGTTTGTGAATTTTAAGGTTCTCGCTCCTCGCGAACACTTTGCCACAGCCTGGGAACGGACAAGGGAATGGTTTTTCTCCCGTATGCACTCGAACATGATTCACAAGTTTGTATTTTGCCTTGAACGAACGGCCATCACGAGGACACGCCTGCCAGAAACAAGCATGGTTGCCTTGTTCCGGTCCCCCGACATGTTCCACGGTTAAATGAGTCACTATTTCATGCATGGTGCTGAATGTCTTATTACATGGTTTCTTAGGTTCCGGTTGATCCTGGTCTATCCACAGACATGTATGTTCCTGTTTTATCGGGGGTCTCATGTAACGAAAGAACGCCCCGGGTCCATGAGGAGACATGTTCATGTGATGAGGGTTGATAGAGTTCATGTGATTAAGGTGTTGAGGGGGTACAAAGTGATCCTGTCGCTGTCCTCCCATCTGGTTAAACTGATCCGCCCGTGGGTACAGCATCTGACTCTGAACATGGTGTCCCGTAGGGTGGTGACTGGCGTCATGTAATCCTGGAAAAAGCATGTGACTGGTGGCTGGGTCGGGGTGGTGCCCCGTGTGGTATCCTGCTGTCGTGGGGGCAAACATACCTGGGTGAGGTGCTGGGTTAGCTTCGTGTCCTGTAAAACCCATGTGTTCACGTCGTAATAAGAAATCTCTTGCAGCATAACTACTGATTTGATGTGAATGGCTGTGTGGCATCCCATATCCGTTACTCTGACTCACAAACTGGTTTGCCTGACCGTGAACTCCGCCGGTCCCGTCCCCCATATGATGTGGGGGGCTCAGTTTCAGCGCTCCTGGTGGTAAGTGCGGCGTATGAGCCGTATCCATGAATGGGTTGATCATGATAAGTAGTGGTAAATAATTGTACTAGCGGTAATAGTACCAAGTCCTTGTCATTCACGCTGCTCACCACTGCTGTGAATTTGGTAGAAATCTTGTCAGTAGAAAGTCAGTGTACATCGACTTGAAGAATCAGATAAAAACTCCACGAGATAAAACCACGTTATGTCTCCTACTAGCTGATCACTCACTCTTAATAAACAAAGTCCAACATGCTACAGTGAGAAGACAAACATGTCTATATCTACTCGTGGGCCACCGAACGGCTTACACACGGGATACAGAATCAAGGGCGGGCCTTCACCACACGCTCATTGGAGCACGCAACGATGATTGACAGCTTACGCTACTGTCTTGTCAGAAACGCTGCTCTGATTGGTCGTTGACCGGATCTCTTGGGGCGTGGCTTGCTGTGAAGTAAGCCGTCTGGTTTGTGGGGATCCAGCCTACCCGTTGATTTTCCCTTGTTTTCTCTCGATTTTCTCCTTCATTCGAACTCAACAGATTTATAATAAAATTTTCAACATATCTCTCTCGTGTTTTCCGTAGTAAAATATTTTGTTGTACATTTGACGATGGGTTGTCGCACGAGTAAAGCACGAGCGCTTCCCTTATCGAAATAACAGAACGGTATAAGGCTATGTCGTCTAATTAAAGATGTTGAAAAATTCAACAGAACTAATAAAAAGAAGTAGAAGGAAAATCAAAATGAAAGAATGCACAGTTCTTAATTTTTGCATTTTTAGACCTTTAATGAAAATTCGCATATTTGAATTTTCAACTAATCTTATAAGAAATCCTATGTTTAAAAATCGTATAAATCCCTTTAATATTTTCGTTAACAAGCGAGGGGGTATTCAATGAAAGTTGTTTGAAAAAACTATTTTAGTTAAATGCGTAATAATATCCAGGTTTATGCGATTTTTAAAAAACGATTAAGAGTAAAAAAGAATAACACTAATGATGAGTATTTCAGTTATAAATAACTGGATATTATTCGTGACAATTGTGGCGAGTAGAGATTTAAATTAACGATTTTGTTATTTCCTCAATATTTGGTTTATTTTCATGTTTTCTCCCAGTAATTTTATTAAGAGTCATAATGTTAATGTAACATTGGGCTTTTAAAAGATTACAGTATCATATGAGATGAGTTGTGTTTCGTTTGCAGGAATATATTTGAGAGAAAATTGTATGTGTTTGGATGTCACAGAACCAAAGGCAAAAATTACATAATTTCAAGGTTCATTAATTGCAAAGCATGCATATTCAAAATATCCCCAGACTTTTAAAATATATTAGAATATATTACAACACTGACCATTTCATTAAAATGTAAGATAATTTCAATCCTGATTTTGTTAATAGCGTATGTATAACTATGAAATCAGGGATACAATAGTATAGTACTATTACACGAGAGATACATAAGTATGTTACAGGAGACGTACATAGGTATATTACACAGGAGATAATAAGTCGAGTACTAGTACACAGAGTATGAAAATAATTAAAATGTAAAAGCGCTACATGTCTACATTAATAAAGCTACGATTGCTGTTCGTGAGAAAATATATGTTAAGCTGCGTTAAATCACGTCTCGTGTCACGAGATAGATTAACGACAGATTAGCTAATCCTTTTCTACTGGGTAATCTCTTTATCTGAGGAAATTGAAGTAGTGAATAATAAAGAAGTTGTCAGTACTTGAAGGGGATCAAGTTGAAATAAAGATAATATTAGGATAGACAATAGAGCGAGCAGTCCATTCACCAACATGAGTATATTACATCGTAAATTGAGAAGGGGGGATTTTTATTGGGAAATCAGGTTTTGATCCACGCGAATGACTTTGATCTAGCTGGAAAAGTGCACCTATACATAATATTGAAATATAACTAAGTGCATATTGATTACCAAAGACTTGACATCATTATATATTTTTTTCTAGAATCGTTTAGTTTTTTAATCAGTGGGATTCATTTCTACCTTTTCATAAAAAATGTTCATAATGAATTCAGGTCTCATAACAAAATCATAATGTTTGTATTTTATATACTAATCCATCGCGTAAATCAAGTCGTCTCGAATAGCTAATACATTTTCGGTTTACTCTAATTGATAGAAATCAAAACTTAATATCTATCTATCAGTGGGGGCAGAGAACATGGTATTCATAGATAGGCTTATTTCACAGCAGAGGATCAATAAATTGACTCAAACATTAAATTATCAGCGTTTTACCTTAAAAAACCTCAAATGTAAAAAAAACTGCAATTATTGATTCAATAGAAAACCTACAATACTGTGTCTCCATTCAAATAAAAAAGCCACAAAAAATCAAGAAACGAAAAACGTTTGTGCAACCGCAGCAAGAAAATGTGAAAGAAAAGTGAATAACTGGAGGTTAAATCTGGAAGCGAGGTGAATGAAAACCCCTCGGGTTAATCGCATCTACTTTGTAAAATTTCTATAGAATAGTTTAGTTAGACGTAAATTGGCGTAAAGAAGGTTTACTGGTCGGGACTCTTTCTTGTTGGGTATTTTTTTAACATCTGACTGGTCGCGAGGAGAAGTTTTCTTTAAGAGTTTGTTCAAATCATTACCTACCAGTGGGAGTCTGAACGAGTAAGGAGTACTTATTTATTGTGTCGTTTTGTCATCACCTCGGTAGGGGCTATTTACTCTCTTTCTGTAAACCAGAGTAAGAAAATAATTACTGATCCCTCATGTAATAGTCATATACACTGTCATGTGGTTAGCCAGTACCTTAATAATAAAGTCTAATTCATAAAGCAAATATTTTTAGTGTTCTTGATCTTCAATTTGCTCTCTATTTTCTATCGTAAGTATCCCTCATGTTGGGTGTCAACTACTCATATTATATACAAACTCTATAATCAACAACTCGGCTAGTTTCGTATAAAAAGTATAAATCATGCCCATATATACAAATCCTATACTCAACAACTCAGCTAGTTTTTATTATAAAATAGTATTGAAAAAGAAACGCCTTTGTAAATCTCATCCATGCCAGCTAGATTATATTCGGCAACGGTAGACATGTCAAATGAAAAGTTGTCATTAGCAAAAGTGGCATCTGCTGATACTTCTTAAAAGAGCAAGCATACTCTGCCACAACAAATATATAGTCATATAAAAGGCAGTGTATTAACCGAACAGGTTTGCCGTTTACATTTTCTTTTTATTTTCATTAAGATACAACTAACTAGGATCATGTCTATGTAACAAAATATAAACAGAAAACATAGTGAAATAATGACGAATATAATACAGTTCTGGATGCTGGTGTCTATTTTTAAATGGCACACGGTATATAATAAGAAAAATTTTCCTGTCTGACGCGTCTACCAGCATTGTTCAATCGAGCTTATCTATTTCTTTACCATTGTTTCTTTATTAAAAAAAATCAAATAAGTTTTTATCGGAAATAGCATACTGGGCAAAATGAAGAAACGGAGATTTACGGGTCTGGCTTGCGGTGTACAAACAAAGCTAGAAAATTTACACTCTCTTGCAAATTAAAATCGGAGTTTATCGCAGGGGAATTGCGATTGCTCCCGCTATCCAAACACAACACCTAATTCCGTTCCTAATGAGCCTTAAAGACAATCAAGGTGTTTTTCTAAGATCTAAACAAATCAGTTTATTACCTGTAATTAATTAATTTACTTTGATCTACACCGCCCCGCGAGTCGCCCAGGTAGTTATAATTCGCAGTTTGAGATTTTTAATTTGATATAATTCTTTATTGGCTGTGTATCATCATTTCTAAAGCCAGATATATTTCATCTTATATCTTCTTTTGATAATTATACCCGTTGTTTTAATACAATCCAAGAACACTTTGTGATGTTAATGTTCCATAAGCTAAATTAGATTCATACGAAACTGACCCGTTTAAATTATCTTGGTATCAAGGTGTAACAAATTAAATATTGCATTTAGTGAATATGTTAATAACATATATCTGCATAATAAACATCTTATTGACGAAAGGGAGAAATTACGCCGTTCTGCAATCTTAGTCTGCACATGAGATGTTACGCAACCGTGTTGTGTATCAACAAACAAGCATTACACAACCTAAACGTGTATTGCTGTAGTCATAATTCAGTTCAGGTGTTACCCCCATAAAACAATCATAACCTTGTATATCAAAGGACACTGTTTACTAAACAATCAAAATTTGCCAATTTTGTGTGGATCATGAAACCTCAAATATACACACATTAAACATGTTCAGGTTTTACGAAAGACTACACACGTGAATAACAAATCAGAATATTGTATATTAACAAATACTGTAAATTTACTGAAATTTCCTTAATACGAAATTCTTCAAATCTGCGTGGCTAATAAATTACAAGTAGAAGAAGACATTTGGCGTTGAATTGACTTCTTAAACCCAAATGACTAACAATCAATGAAGGATAGGTTTAATTCCTGAACACCTAATACAAATAACAGTTTTTGCTGGACGTTCTTTTGCAATGCCAACAGTAATGTCTTGTAAGTATAAATCAGTCATATTTTGAAATAAAAATATAATATTAAGAATACACATTTTATCTATAGTTCATGGGGAACAATAACATTATATATATATATATATATATATAAAATGTTATCTTTGAAACTATACTTGTGCTATCTGATGTGGTAAACGATTTTGAGCTAACATTTTTTGTAAGGGGGGTGGGGGGTTGCATTTGTGTACTGAAACCAATAGTTATTTTATCAGTTTATCTTTCAGTGTTGGGATTAACACTATGTGTGTAATCTATGACACCATCATGCATACTTTTCCATTGACACATTGTCTCGTGAATACACACTCAAAAAACCTATTTGTTTTATTAGATTCACGGCCTTTTTCTATAAGATATCCGTTTTATATTTTACATTATTTGAGTAGATAACGTATAAAAAAACAACAGTTAATTTTATATAGAAACGGCTATTGACATTAAATGATTTAAATGTTGAACTGTCTAAACATAAATAATATTCATTATAGACTAACAAATAGTTTTGGAGATCTGAATTCGTAGCATAACATCGATCATTACTTGTGATTTTTAATTCATAACATATTTTGCAATATTATGTCAGTCCCGAAACGCCCCCTACACACACTCTCTCTCTCTCTCTCTCTCTCTCTCTCTCAAATTTGGTTGGGTTTAAACAAAGTTTCTAATTTGCATTTGAGGGTAAAATATGG